TGATAGCATTAAATCAAATCGGCAAAGCCAAGAAGGCGAGTCAACATCAGGAAACCTTCCAGATATTCCTAAAAAGTCGAGGAGAAAGAAGTCGAAAGAGTCAAATAGTGTTGGATCATCTCGATTAGGGTCACGATCCAAAGGATCTTATCCTGGACCTGATGCTGAATCAATAGTACCAAGAATAGAACAATGATTTACATCAAATTGAAGCAATTTATACAAGATCAAGACAAGGAAAAACAGTGTGTATTGTTAATGATGTTTTTTGATCTTATTTTTCCCCTAGGTAGCTAGAAACATTCTCAGTCGGAACAAAATTTTCTTTTCATAAAACAACCTGGATTCAGAACTATTTCCATTTGGAGTCTTGTCAACCACAAAGACTCTATACGGATACGGGCTCTCGACTACAATATTGAGGAAGAGAAAGAAGTTATAATTTTTTTATTTTATTCAATCGTGCCCAACACTGTGTACTAAAATATGTGTTTAGTATTTATAAAACATTACATTTCTGATGTTATTCTCACTCACCAATAAAAACCAACATCCACGTTCAGTCTTCCCAGCCTAGATTTATCGAGTTTAGGAAATCAAGATATGGTAATTATGTATATCTAACAAGTAACAACTTTAGAATCGACTATTTAATGTTAGGTCATTGTGGTACGGGGCACACAATTACAATTAAAGTAGAAATGAAAAATAATGAACACCAAAATTTTACGTGGACAAACCATAGGCAAATTTTAGAAGGATTTCACTATGGCAAATGGATTAAAAGAATTTCTTTCTTTAATAAGAAGAGCACAATTGACAATACTCTCTCTTATACTAGGAGAAGTTACTCGCTCTCTCTAATAAAAGAAAAGACAATATTTAGGAGAAACCTCACTAATTTTTCTCTCTCTAAAATTACTCTCTCCTTCTCTATGGTTTTTAGTCAAGAAAATGGGATAATATGTTGAAGTATATAGGCATGTATATATAGACAACAAAGGCGGTGGTTTTGGCTCATGGTCGCCAATTTGATTTCAATTTGTGGAGATGTTTTTGTTGATTAATTCAAATACTTAACCAAGAAGAAAAATGCTTCTTATCCTCTTCTATTTGTTGCCAACTTTGTATTGTTGCATATACGGTAACTGTTGCATATATGGTATATATTGCATATGCGGTATCTACCTTGCATATACGGTATTCAGTTTGAAGCATTTGTCTAACACTTTGACCCACAAGAAAGTGACTTTATCACCACATTTAAATCATTTTTCACCGCTAAATCCCGTTTTCATCATTAAATTCGTTGCAAGATATGCAACCCCTTTCCAAATGTACTATTATATATTTTCTTTTCTACCTAATATTTTGGTTAACTAAAGTAAATGTCTAAAGAAAATTAAAATCCCATTACACATTAATGCCTAAGAAACATGTAATCTTGCACAAGAATCCCCACAATACAATAGGGCAAAATTGGGAATCTGTGTCTACTGCACAACTTTAGCGGCCCAAAGGTACTGGCATATTTTGATTTTTAAATACTCCAATAACATTTTTAACTTTTACACTTAATTTTTCCACTCCCAAAATGTATTTATTATTTTTCTTTATCTTTTATTTTTACCCACTTTCCTCCAAATTATTATATTATTTCCCTCCATTTTATTTGTATATACTATTTAATTGTGTCAATATCTAGAGCATTGAAAATCAGAATATTTTGAATACATTTAATTATAGAGGGTGTAGTTGGCTCCCTCTATTTTAAAATATTAATTTGACGAGTCTCTTGGAACATAATTTTAAAAATCGACTATTTAAAATAGAGATTATTTCATTTTTAAGGAATCTTTTGAAAATGTTCTAACTCTAATTAACTACTAATCCTAATTAAAAACTAACATCTAAATAATAACAAAAAATTAAAAGTACTAATTTAAATTGAATTTCGAATTTATTTAATAAAAAATACTAATTAAAAATAATTAAGAACTCAATTTTCATCATTCTCATCCGATTGACAAAGATTCATCATCGATTCTTGCATTTTGTTTTTCATCATAACAACAGTATTTTACTTGATAAATTTGCAAGGCATATAGTAGAAAACTATTCGAACGAAGGTCGAACTATAGCACGCATCTCAAGACCCAAGAACTCTGTTGAGTGATACTTAAATCAATCTTAATCGTTTTAGACCACCTATTAGAGACATTTAGTGTGAGGCTCTTTATAGGATGGTAGAAGCATAGAAAAATAAATAAACGATCATTGTATCGAATAATCGAAATTTCATTGATTTCAAATGAATACCATAGTACAATAACCTTCTAGATTCTGTCGATTCCTAATAATATGAAAACTCTAGACATCAAAAACTCTTTGATTCGCACACGAGGATAAAGAAATTGGACTCACCGATTTTAAATATCAAATACTGAGAATTTAAGAAATTGTAGAAAATCTCAACAATTAATATTTTATTTCAATTCGAAAGCTACTTTTTTGCCATTAAGGCTACAACTCTTATTTATAACAACTAAAAACCTAATTAACGACTAATTTTAATAAAAGGCCAACTTTGACTAATTAATAATCTTTATTAACAGCTAACATCTAGACAATAGCAAAAATTTAAAATCCTAATAGAAATTGAATTTCAAATTTGTTTAATAAATAAAATACCACCTAAAAAATAATTAAATACTCAATTTTCATCAATTACCCTCCGACTTCAACTTTTTTTCCAAGCTTAATTATATGCAAAAGTGAAGAATAAAAATATGGAAAATATGAAAATACACACAAGCGCGCGCGCACAGACATATACATTAATCTGTGAAATTTTGGAGGGAAGTTTAAAGGATACAACGACACCCAAAAGTGCAGCATTTTAATTGATTTCAATTTTCTAGTTTATATCATCCTTTAATACGTATAGCAAACTTACGTATAGCCATAAATGTAGGTTTTTGTACAAGGTTGTTGGGGTCAGCAATTAGTAGATGCATCGGAATATCTAAATAACGTTAAACGCTTCCGTAGCATCCTCATTAACTACATGCCCCCAACGTATTATTAAAAAGAATAATGCTATTTGTAAGCAATGCTAAATTTACAATGTGTCAATTCTTCAGTAAGTCAAAATGCACCACAAATTTACAATAAAATGTGACAGTAATTCATTATCACATGAATTATTGATGAATAAGCACCGCATATAAATATAAATATTATCCTAAAAAGAATTATTCTAAATATATATTATTGTTTACATTAAGGATGACATTCTCTTCTATGTGTCAAAATCTGGCCAGTGATTTGAAAATGTGTTGAGAAAATCAAAGGTTATGATGGATGACATGTGGAA